AGTCTTGCGTCTGAATTAAAGTCTCATCTTTTTTTTTACGACCTTTATGTTTTATCATGATAGATTTAATGAGCGGAGGCAGGTCAGATATGGTTCTTAATATCCTCTTTCTTTCTCTAATGTCGTCTTTCCGTCTCTCTTTCTCTACTCCCATCTCTCTCTTTGTCTCTCTGCCTGTTTGTATGTTGGTCTGTCTGTCTATCTCTGGCTGCCTGTCTCTTTTTCCTCTCTTTTTGCCCCGCTGTCTCTTTGTTTGAATATTTGTCTGTCTATCCCTGTCTGTCTGTCTCTCTGGATATCATTTTAACCGGGAAGATAATACCAATTAAGGTATTATACAACCAAGGAGCTATGATTAACTCCTTGGAGACCAACAGCGTGTTCCCTGGAAGTCTAGGACGGACAATGGACAGGCGTTTTCCGTGACGGATCCGTGTCTCATGAAGTGACTCACTCGAGGCCAGCCACACGCTCTTCCTTCATTAATTCCGGCTGTGCCTCTGAGTGTGCTGGTCCCTTTGCTACACACTTTATTCATTAATGGTTTATCCGTCATTTAGTGATGTTATATGCATTTGGAAAATGAATGCGTAGTTGTGTTTACCTCTGCTGTTTTATGGAATGGTCGTGTATGTTTTTTTTTGTTAGGTTATGAGAGGTTTATTTGCTCTCTCGTTCTCAGGTAATGAGTATAAAGGATCTGCTTCATTGTTTGCTTTTACTTTCATTTATAGATAAGTACTTGGAAGGTAATGAAGAGGCTAACAGCAGCCTAGACTTGATTTCTGAAAATGCTTATTGATGCTTATTGAGGCTACCGTCATGATAACAGCAACCACTGGGCTTACCAGTAAATGAAATAAGTGTTTCACATGTAAATTCACTACGGAGTTATAGTCATCGGACTTGAAGTTGCGTGCACGTCATCATACAAACATAAATGAGAGATTTAAACATATTCCATAACTTTAAGCAAAAACAAACTGCTTCTCTTTACGAGAACTGCAACAATGAACTTGAACTAGTACTCTTGTTGCCCATTCCAGGGTTATGGCGCTGAAGGGTAAAACGCTCTACTGTGATGATAAAATGCCAGAAAAAACGCTACACGCAAATATAATAAATATTTCTTATTCTTTCTAGCGGCCGTGGTGTTCAAGAACTAAAGTTGACGAGCGTACAGAGTTGTTTTTTTTGTTTTTTTTTAGATAAGTTGTATATATATACACCCCCCCCATATATATATATATATATATATATATATATATATATATATATATATATATATATATATACATATATATATATATATATATATATATATATATATATATATATATATATATATATATATATATGTATATATATACACACATGTATACATATGTAGACACATATATATGTATGTATGTATATATATATATATATATATATATATATATATATATATATATATATATATATATACATATATATATATATATATATATATATATATATATATATATATATATATATATATATATATATATATATATATACATATATATATATATATATATATATATATATATATATATATATATATATATATATATATATATTCTTTTCTTTCTTTCTTTCCATGTTTAGTAGTGTTGAACTGGATGTTAAGACGGGGACAACACAGCAACCGGGAATGTTTAACAGTTGTGAGCTCTGAATTGTTTCATCGGAACTCGAGGCGAAGTAGTCCGGGTTACCAGCTGTTCTCGTCATGCCATTCTCATGTCATTCCCCTGGCTAGGTCCTGTACCTTATTACGTACTGTAATTCCAAGCGTTTAATGAATGCTCCTTCCTATGCTAGAAATCATGATGCATTTGGGCCTTGTGCATTTTTTTTCCGGTGTAAAAAAATGTCAACTAGGCCAACTTATGAATTAGTCATCTCAGCCACAATGGCCACATGGGTCTTAATCTCCAGCATCTCACCACAGCAGTACCTATCCTGGCTTGAATGATCTCCATTAAAACATTAAGGTACTATGTGTGACTATCTACCCATCACCAATTTCGTGTTTAAAGAGCGAAATTTAGTTATGATCCCGGGTTAACTGACATGACATGCCCTAGCAGTCTCACCCTGCAACTTAAATTTTTCGACATAGTCATAAGATCGCCGATATATCCTCGAATGATACTAAACAGATCATAAAAGCAGTACCAGGATTAACTATAATAAGAACGTGCGGATCCTTTGAAAGAGTTCGAGCTAAACAATGAATTAGTCATAGGCATGAGAATAACCTGGTGATCTCTATCGCTTCTATGAAAATATTTTTAGTTGATTGATACTGGTTTCGCACAAAAATAATGTAAATATAGATGTATTGATATGAATACATATATAGATAGATACAGATACAGATAAAGAAACAGATCTATCCTTATCTCCGCCTCAGTAGATTCCGCACAAAGATACAAAGATAAACCATAAAGCAGGTTTTGATGCCACGCAAACAGAGTTGGATCACCCGAAAGCGATTGTATCTTCCTTTTGCGTGATGAAGCGAGAAACCCACCGTCCAGTCGATAGGAATACTCATAATTATCTCTGTCGATTTACATTTATATCAACATTCCTACTGCTTGGGGTTTCTCAGCGGATAGACCAACATATTGACAACAACATAGACCGCATTGTGGTAATCCAGGTCAAATTTGATTTCATTTTAGAATCAGTCTAGATGAAACTCATCTATACAGTTTGTTTATTTCTTTTTTGTACAGAACAGCAAATTCGAATAAAGTTAATGCCACTGGAAGGGAATTTGGGGAAATACCTAAAGTACATAAAGAGAAAATAATCTGATTAAATAAATGGACTGAATAAATGGACTAACGTAACACAGGTTAGATTTATCAAAATGTAAGGCTATTGACACCTTGGGGAGTATAGAGCATTCAATCAACCTGTTCAGTTCCTTGATATGAATTCTTGATTGAGAAATTTAGAACGATGAGGTGTTATAGTAGTTCGGGGTGTATGAATTGAGAGAGAAGGAACAGAAAGACAAAAGAGAGAGAAAAAGGTTATACATACGTGCATGCAATAAGAGAGAGAGAGAGAGAGAGTGTGTGAGAGAGAGAGAGAGAGAGAGAGAGAGAGAGAGAGAGAGAGAGAGAGAGAGAGAGAGAGAGAGAGAGAGAGAGAGAGAGAGAGAGAGAGCGAGTTTACGAGAGAAAGACAGATAGATAGACAGATAAATTGATAGATAGAGAGCGAGAGAGAGCGAAAGCAACAGCGCGTGCGAGTGAGCGACAGATAGATCTCTGTGTGCGTGTGTATGTACATGTCCCTCGCATGTGAGAGTGTGAGCCACAGTCACAGCATATCTCCCCCTCCCCCCTCCCCTCTCCTCCTCCCCTCCCCCCACGTCACAAGGATCCCGACACATATTGATCACAATAATTAAATTGCCGAGTGAGGTGCGACTGTCAAGGGCGAACTGGCGGAGTCCGTGTGTTTGTGC